GGATGTATTGGTAATATAACTTCAAAACAACAGATATAGATGTTCTAATTTAAGACTGAGTCATAGTTTTCCGAACGTTGGAATGTACAAAATACAAAAATCAAAAAACAAATATTTATATATTTCAGAGTGCTGTGGAAGTTTGTACGCTCAAAAGTTGTAATGAAACAGGCAACGCTGTCCCAAGGCAAGGAAAGGGCGTGTTACATTCAGGATAGATTAAAATTTGAGAATAGAGGAGACAAAATAGAATGACCTTATGATGACTAGCAGTTGATGTTATTGAAAATTGTATTTTCATCGTGAGAGTTGAATTTTTTTTTAATTTTTTTTTTAAATTAAAGTGCATCTAAATATTGCTTATGATTTATTTTCTAATGAGCAAATTCTAGGAATACTGGAAAACTCGAAGTTAAATCCTAAAATATAAGAAAAGTTCTATGATAATCTGTATTTGAAATGCTAACTTTATCAATAAATTATAGCATTGAAGCTGCTCAATTTGAAAGTTGCAGTCTATAACTATTAATTCGTCCCAGAGGTGACACATTCCAACATGTTTCAATGATTTTAATCTACTAAACGTCAAGGAAAAAAATAATATATATAATATTAATATAATATATATAAAGTTAAAACAATAAGTAATACAATTTCTTTAATATAGACAACCAAACCAATCCAACTATAATAAAACAGATAGACAACAATAACTCCTAGTGAAACCGAAAGATTAACTCGAATAAAGGGTGATACGGTCAAAATTTGGTCAAGGGAAAACGCGTGTAAATGGGTGAAATCGTTTATTTAAAAAATCAAATTAAATTTCTTTTTCAAGTTCAATTAGTATAAAATTCAGGAAAAATATTCAGTTAGGCTTCCGCTTTTCCAAATCCGAATTGCCGGGCCTTACGCTTGACCCCTGCCATCAGATTTTGTACAGCCACCTTGTCCACCTTCTTCGCCGCAGAAAGCCAGTTTGCCTTGAACTGCTGCTCGCCCTTAGCAGTTTTTTTGGTCTTCTTTAGGTTCCGCTTGACAATAGCCCAGTATTTCTCAATTGGGCGGAGCTCTGGCGTGTTGGGAGGGTTCTTGTCCTTGGGAACCACCTGCACGTTGTTGGCGGCGTACCACTCCATGGCCTTTTTACCGTAATGGCAAGATGCCAAATCCGGCCAAAACAGTACGGAACAACCGTGTTTATTCAGGAAAGGCAGCAGACGTTTATTCAAACACTCTTTCACGTAAATTTCTTGGTTGACAGTCCCGGAAGCTATGAAAATGCTGCTTTTCAAGCCACAGGTACAGATGGCTTGCCAAACCAGATATTTCTTTGCGAACTTTGACAGTTTCATGTGCTTGAAAACATTTGCTACCTTTCCCCTTCCTTTTGCCGTATAAAACTCCTGTCCCGGAAGCTGCTTGTAGTCGGCTTTGACGTAGGTTTCGTCGTCCATTACCACGCAGTCAAACTTCGTCAGCATCGTCGTGTACAGCCTCCGGGATCGCGCTTTGGCCGTCGTATTTTGTTTATCATCGCGATTTGGAGTCACTACCTTCTTGTAAGTCGATAGTCCGGCTCGTTTTTTGGCTCGATGCACGGTTGTAGACGATACACCCAGCTTATTTGCGGCATCTCGGAGAGAGAGGTTAGGGTTTCGCTTGAAACTACCGGCAACTCCCTTTGTCGTCTCAGCGGCTTCCGGTTTTCGATTTCCCCCCGATCCAGACTTCCTGGCTGTCATTACATTTGTAACGGTTGATTTGGCAACTTTTAGCGATTTTGCCAACTTTGCGTGCGAGTAGCTCGGATTTTCGCGATGCGCGAGCAAAATTTTGATACGCTGCTCTTCTTGCTTGGACGGCATTTTGACAACTGAAGAGTGAATTCCAAAATCAAAATAGGAGCAACATTCTACACACACACCTTCAAAATGAGGGGTGTTCAGGTTTTTTAAATGCAAAATTGAAAGAAATACGTCAAGTTGATATTGACCAAATTTTGACCGTATCACCCTTTACCAATTTTTTAATTATGAGGACCTCCTCCAAGTTAAATTCTCAGAAGGATTTCAAAGGAATCCCGAAAAGAATTCCATTGGAGCATTCAAAGTTTCTAAAGAAGAGCTCTATGCGGAGAGCTTCAAGTGAATTGCAAGGATATAGGACAACTTCCATATGACAATTTTGGAAGAAAAATAAATATTTGCAATCCCTTCCTTCAACGACGTTAGTTTGATTCACAACCCCAAAATATGAATCAGTGCAAAAAATGAAAAAGATTGATAATGGTTTCGAGGTCGTGCAAATGGTTAGAAGTCTGAATAAAACCATTGTCCAACTGATAGGTTTCACATACTGAATAACTTTTGTAAAAGGCGAGAATCATTAGATTATTAGATAAGTACAAAACAAACCCATATTTTTACTCTTTAAAGCCACGTAGTGAACTATTTTTGTCATCATAATCAAAAAAAGGTTACTCATCTGAATAAGTTTTACGAATACAGGAACTTTTCGTATGGTCAGGATCATGAGATATGAGACTAAATAATATTTTTGCTAAAGAGACCAACCAGCCAAAGGTTTATAATTTCTATAATAAAAACAACAAAATATATATTATATAATTTATTAAGAGAATCGATCAACGTAGAGTTCAAATGTTACGCGAGGATCACTATATAACTGCACAGACCCATTTTTCAACAAAACAGGATAGGTTGGTTGAAGTGGTGTTTTTTTCCATAACATGTCCACGTGCAGGAAAGAAACAAGGGTAAGTGAACTGTTTCCCGACCTTTTTTCAATAAATTTGCACATAATTCGCCTATTTAGGATGCAGTTTAACGTTTTGATAACGATAAACTCGATTAAGTTTTAGTCACAAAGTATCGATTTTTTAATTTATATGGATGGGTCGATCGATATTTCTTGGTCGAAAATTTGTACGTTTACCCTAATACAAAAATGATACAGTGTACGAGCAAGTCAAACGCGCACTATTTTGCCTGTAGATTTGAAGAAACATTTCAAGTTTCCTCATCCATTCCTGTATGAGTTAGGTAAAAAAGTTAGGTACTCATTTTCAACTTCTATTCAATTTTCATACTGTCGTACTGTAGCGGAACTATCAACCTACCCTCTTCAGACCTTTCTCTAGCTAATACATTATCACACAAAAGCTTCATGTTATAGTACGTTCAGACTACTGAGCTATAACATGTTATAGCGCTATCTTGATGGTGGTTTCTGTGCTGCAATTAGTTGACAACCGTTATAACATGTTATAACTCTCCAGTCTGGACAGCGTTTTAAACGCTGTCCAGACTGGAGAGTTATAACATGTTATAACGGTTGTCAAATAATTGCAACACAGAAACCACCATCAAGATAGCGCTATAACATGTTATAACTCTGTAGTCTGAACGTACTATTAGATAGCCTTTTCAAGCAACTCTGAAAATTGTAAACTTCACGTATGAAGTAACATAAAGAGAGAAGAGAGAGAAAGCAGTAGGGTGGTTGTTGCGTGCTGTACCATCATCAGCATCTCTTTGGTTTACCACGGTAACATAAAAGAACTTCTCGCTAACCTCTCAGCACAGTTCGACAGAAGATGATGTTAGCTTGCGCCTGAATCAACACACTGAATGGGAAATTCATTTGCAGTCGGATTATTCGCGAAAGAGAAATTCGATGAAGAGAATCGATTAACAATGCTAGGCCCTTTTCTCGTGTTGTGTGAGTCAAGGCGGGAGTAGCTGTCAACAATGCTGATGATGGTACAGCACGCAACAGCCACCCTAATGCTTTCTCTCTGCGATGACTACGTTAGTCATGACGAGAAGAGCAACACAATAGCTGCATAAAGAAGAATTGCATTATAACACACTATCAACTGGAAATGTTTTCGGCAACGTGGGGCTTTAGGTAGTGATTAAACGTCGCTACACGGTAAGAAAAAAGTACCCAAAAGTAAGTTCTTTTCACTCATCTCGGCACTAGTGCAGGAACCCAAAAGTAGGTAAAGCGGGTCAAAGTAGTTTTCATTTACTTATGTGCAATTCGTATGGAATTTTCTACTTGCTTTCTACCCAAAAGTAAGTTAGTTGTACCCAAAGGTAGGTAAATATGACTGTACTCAACGTTGGGTTCCCACACTTTACTACCCTTGTTGGGTGGTTTTGCTCCTCCGTTTTTGACAACATTAGAAGGAGGAAAGGAGACTAGTCAAAAGTAGGTAAAAGTGAACTGGCCATTGGGTACTTTTTCTAACCGTGTAGAACTATTCCACAGAACTATTGCACAGCCGCAGACAGTATATGAGCAAGTCAAATGCGCACGTTTTTGCCTGTAGATTTCCTCATCCATTAATGTATGCGTTAGGTAAAGAAGTGTGCGTTTGACTAGTACGGCGAATTTAATGGCCCTTCGCTTATTTTCAACTTCAATACAATTTGCATACTGTCGTACACAGCAAAAAAAAAATGTAAAATCGATCAACGCAATTCAAGCTGATGTATGAAATAATGATGTAATAGCAGAAATCAGATACAATACTACATCAACAGATGTAATTTTGTTCGCAAAATCGGTATACATCGTGCAACGTAATATTACACCAACAGCGGAATGACCTCTGTGCAGCTGTTTGGGTGTAATATACAACAACTTTTTTTCTGTGTACTCTAGCGGAACTATCAACCTACCCCCTTCAGACCTTTCTCTAGCATTATTATACTTAAGCTTCATGTTAGATAGCATGTCCAACCAACTCTGAAAATCGTAAACTTCACGTATGAAGCAACATAAAACACTTTGAAAGAAAATACTATTAATAAACTATTACGCGAATTGTAGAACTAAACTATTCTAGAATTGTTACGGAACTATAATAAAACAAAACAAAAAAACGTTTTTTGATTCAATCGCTAAAGCAAAATATTTAATTAAAAAAAAGAGAAAGGCAAAACAAAGCTGAAAATATGTTCAATCACCTTTCAACAGCCAACTAATCACGACACAGTCCGCTTCCGCGTATCCTTTTTGGACAATCAAAGCACAAGGTCACTATTTTTTGCTGCTTGATCAAACCCGTCACTTGAATAGTCCCCCACTCTGCTACTGAGCTGGGCTACCTACAACTTGACTCAACGGCGATCGAACTATGACTGCGCATGCAGAGTAATTTTTTCCCGGTTGATATCATAACAAACTCCCGCGCTCGCATCACCAACAATACCAGCATCATAGACATCGACGCCACAGACAGCGACGACGACGGCACGGTTGATTTCTAACACCCCCTGTTGCTGCCGGTATGCTAAACAGTGCAAACCAAATCTCCCTGTAACCCGCTGATGTATAAATATGATTAGGAGGGCTACTGCACATTTAAATCCATCTCCTCACAGTCATAGATTGGCTTTTGATCAGTGGCCGATACACTTGATCACACGGCCGATTAAACCAACCCAAATTTGAGTTTCGTGCACTAAACATCGCAATAACGTATAAGTTACTTGGTAAAATTTTTGTCGATTATTCTCATATTCATCATATTCCAACAGATTTTTACGGAAAGGTGAGGAAAATTTTACACAGTCTACCAACGTTTTGTGAATTTGAGTGAAAAACCACTCAATTTTGAGTCGATCTCATCCGTTGTGTAGATTATGGGGCTTTCCATTGATACGCACTGTCTGTGCTTCCGAACAAGTTATTTTTTATGGTTCAAACGCGGAAAGTCACCCGCTTCATCGGTTTAAACGTTGCTTCCACACGTGTTTTCTTGGAATCACAGAATTCCCACTGATCACGTTTCAATTTGATGGGCTCATCAAGAATGTTAGAGTTGGTACATGCTGTGTTGCGTTTGGTGCTGTAAATTTAAAATATAATCTCGGGGATTTTCAATCCGTTGAGGAAATTGTCCCCAGTGGAAATATTCCATTCAAGGTGGGTTTTATCTTTTATAGAATGGACACTAAAAATCACCCCTAAGCAAGAATAGGCAGTTTATTGTTAATTATTCATTGCATTCACGTCGGAGGACGGAGGTATTATGACGATTAATGAAATGGTTTGATTCGTTTTAAGGAGCATGTATTAAGTACGTCACGTGAAATTTAGGGAAATCAACGCTCCCATGCCCCCCCATTTCGTCATGTTCGTCCTATACCTAATGTATTGCTAGCTACACATTTGCATACACCCCCCCTCCCTCCCTTAGAGCGTGATTTACTGATTTATGAGCCACGGAATAATTTACTCGAAGCGTATGCGCACAACTTGCACATTGCGCGTAACATTTACTCTATTAGTTGCGCTTATAAAACTACGATTTTACTTCAAATCTTTTTGGTGTCTTGGGGTCGGGGCACTTATTCTTTAGCTCATAAGGAATAAGTGCGCCGAAGACACCAAAAAGATTTAATGTAGAACCGTGTAACTAATAAAAAAAAAAAATCATCTTGCAATGCATAATATTCAACCATTCGAACAGTCTTTAAACAAGTTTAATTCTCTTGAAATGTGACAGTAATTATTATGATTATTTTAAGAATAGAGTTCTACGGGGCTGTTCATCAACTACGTAGACAGTTTATGGGGGAGGGTTTTTCCAATTATCCACGAACCATACAAATTTAAAAAATTGCGTGTTCATACACATGGGGAGGAATTCACAAAAAACGGTCTACGTAGTTAATGAACAGCCCCTAATATGGTTATCTATCCCACGCAGAATCCTTTCCTAGACCGTTTTGATAAAAAAATATGCGGTAGCAGGGTTAAAAAAAAATTGCTGGTTATTACAAAAAAATACGAAGATAGACGTATTTAAAACAGTGCGGGGTAAGTTTCAGTCAATACCGTTCAAATGACCTATAAAGATTGAAAACCGGTCGTAGAATGGCAGAGATATGAGCAAAACATATGTACATGTTTTTTAAAGGGTGACCCCAAACTTATAATCGGGAGCAGTGTATGTTTACATCATTTACCCTCCATGCACTGACTATCGCTTCTACCCAGTGTAGATGAATTTCGATTGTTTTGAAAACCTTCGCTGTCATCGTACGAGGGAAATGAACACATGAGTTCATTATCCATCGACGAATACGCGTTTGTTGATATTGACCAATGCGCGGAATGAACTCACGAAAAAAATTGACTTTTGAGCGGTGCCGTGTATACTAATAATGAACACATGATGTAATGCTTGCGTAACTTTAGCAAAGGTCCTGTCAACTTTTATAAACAATTTGCTAGGCCCTTTTCTCACGAGCCGAAGAACACCCACGCAAACCAAACTACTATCAGAAAGGGGAGAATTCACCCTACCCGATGTGTTGTTGGTTTGCATGGGCGTACTTCGGTTTGCGCCAAAAATGTCTAACAAGTTTTGTGTACATAAGTTGATAGGCCATTTTTAAATGTTACCCGAGTATTATTCATGTGTTCATTTTTAGTAAACACGGCACCGTGTTTTGTTCATGTTCAAATTTGTTCATACAGTTCATTCTGTGCATTGGTCAATTCATCAACGCTCGAGTTTCCAACCCAAAATTGTCAAAATCGGAAACGATCCTCAAAAGCAAAAAAATCAAATTCATTTTGCCATAAATGATTATTTTGAATATTATAGATTGCAGAGTCTAAAACCTTGATATTATCATCAATTCTGCAAAAGGCAATAATCTTTCATCGATCTGAATGAAAAAAGCATCATAACACGTTCCACAACGGTATATTTTGTAATATATATTTTGTAATATGTAAAACGAAAATAATCAATTCGCATTTGATACTCAAAATCATCCCCACCAAAATGATTATGAATATTGATATGACAACAGAACAGGCGATAATGAATACGCATCTTTGAATGAACAAAAACAAATCAGTGCCAACATTTCAAAGGGGCGTAATTGCTTTTGTAAACAATGGCTTTAGCCGTCGATTTCTCGCAAATTAAAGCCAACCCTTCCAAATTACCACTGCTAGCTGGTACAGGAAACATTTCTCTACCTGCTGGTATCATTCATTTTTATGAGTGAGCTTTCATTCGCGAGAAATCTACGACTTAAACTATTGTTTACAAATGCAATTACGCCCCTTTGAAATGTTGGCACTGAAATGTTGACTTCGAAACTCAGCAGTTTCCTTGATGAAGAGCATGTTATCATGTCAAAATTCAAATTCATGCAGATAGTTGGTTTTTCGCAAGGTTGCCTTGATTTTTAGCTTATTTGAGTGTAGAAGAAACAATTTTTATCAGCACTGATCGGAAGTGTAACTCATGAGTCTTCGTTTTGACGAATGCAGTCTGTTTTTGGCACCGTTTCGAATTCTTCTGCATCTTGAACGTCTTAAGACCGTTTCTCGCCTTAGAACGTTCCCAGTTTTTAGCCAAAACTTTAAAACGCTGGCCAGACTGAGCAGTTATAACATGTTATAACGGTTGTCAAATAATTGCAACACAGAAACCACCATTAAGATAGCGCTATATAACCATAGAGGTAACTCTTAGACTAGAAGGTCCCGAAATAACGTGCTCAACTTTTTGGCTCAGCTCTGGTTCTCTCTTCGGTCCCAAGCTAATCGATTCACCCCTCGAAACATAGGAAAAACCAATAACCCCTCATTTTATCTGTCAAACTTTCATAGCGAATCAAAACAAACATTGCGTAGTACTAGAATTTCGACTAGAATAGGGTACGTTAATCGTTTGCTTAGGACCAATAGGCTACTAAAGTGGTGAGCCAATTAAAATCGTTAGTTTCGTATTGATTGTTGTTATAACTCTGTAGTCTGAACGTACTATAACAGAGGCACTGCTTTCGATCTACACGTTTTGGGCTTAGGTTATTTTGCGGTGTGTCGAATCGATGCCGGTAACCTCCTCACCAAACTTTAGGATAGCAGTTCGGGCTGCTCCGATACATAGGGGAAGGTGGTGATAAATGATTTTGTTTATTTTTCTAATATCTTAGCCACACGCCTACGCTTCTCGCCAGCCAAAAACCCATTACATTTCATTAAATCGCATGACAATGTAAAATGCCGTAGATTGCTAAAGAGGATTTTTTAAATCGGCCGATGGGTATCAGAATGTTATGAAAGTTTGATCACATGTAGAGTTTATGGATATAAAGGGTGGAACCATAGAGGTAACTCTAAGACTAGTAGGTCCCGAAGAAAATCATTATTATTTTTGGCTCACTCAGTACCAGAACAACGGTCCCAAGCAGTCCCAAGCTATTTCACTCACCCCTGCATGTTCTGCATGAATCCACACACCCCTGATGTTATCTGTCAAACTTTCATAGCGAATCAAAACAAACATAGTGTAGTAATAGAATTTCAACTAGAATAGGGTACGTTAATCGTTTGCTTGGGACCAATAGGCTACTAAAGTGGTGAGCCAATTTAAAATCGTTAGTTTCGTATTGATTGTTGGTGGAACGGTCAACAATTTGTGGCACAAATTTGGTGATTTTTTTTTAATCGTGCATTTATAACAACTTAAACACCCCTCATTTTGTAAGCCTGTGCATACAGAATGTTGCCTCTATTTTGTTTTTGACATTTTCCATTCTGTTGTCAAAATGGCATCGAAGCAAGAGCGCAACAGCGTATCAAAATTTTGCTCGCGCATAAGCGTTTCGCGAAGTTAAATTATTCCCATGCAGATTGACTGCGTCAGAAATTTATTGCGTTATAATGAACGATGAAATATACGTCAAAGCGGATCTCAAGCAGCTCCCAGGACAAGAGTTTGCTCGGCTACTGCAAAAGGAAAGGTTCAAGATAAGCAGAAACAGTTGTCAAAATTCCCGAAAAAATACTTGGTTTGGCAGGCGATTTGCACCTGTGGGCTGAAATTCGAAATTTTCGTGACAACTGGCATTGTCAACCAAGATATTTATGAAAAGAAATGTTTGCAAAAACGGTTGTTGCCTTTTTTGAAGAAGCACAGTTGTTCCGTGCTGTTTTAGCCAGACCTCGCTTCCTGTCACTATGGGAAAATGGCTCAGGAACGGTATACCACCAACAACGTGTAGGTCGTACCCAATGACAAAAACCCTCCAAACTCGCCGGCGCTTCACCCAATTGAAAAATATTGGGCAATCGTAAAACGGAAACGCATGAAAGCTTAGAAAACAGATGGAAATGAGAAACAGTTCAAAGGAAATTGACGTTCAACATCAAATAAGATTGATGCAATACTTAGTGGTACAAAATCTGAAGGAAGGTGTGAAACGTAAAGCTCGACAGTTCGCATTTGAAAATTTTTCCTGTATTTTGAAGTCACTGAACTTCAAAAAGAAAAACAAGTTTGATCATTTATACAATAACATAGTCTTCTTCTTCTTCTTCTTCTTCGCATTTCAAGCTTATTGCATATCGCATATTAGCTTATTGCGTGCTCTCAACT